CGAGCTTGCGGCCAGTCTGGTGACGACAGACGTCCTGCCGGAGAGCGCATGCCCATTGCTGAAATGCCATTCATTGGCATCTTCCGTTGTGATCCCAACGATGAAAATATTCTCAACGCCGCATCCTACAAATATCCGTCGTACATTTAAACATCGAGGGAACATTCGATGTGAATGGTGAACACTTGAAACGATGCTTCACAATTCCTGCAATGGACAATATCGAACTAACTTTAATAGCGAGATCAGCTGCGTTGTCAGCACATAAAATGATCAGAGCCATAACACACGTATTGATGGCACCGTGCAATTGCAAAAAGTAGTTCGCTTGTGGTGAATCCGCACCGAATTGATGCAATATTTCACGTAATATATCCACTGGTGATCTCTGTTCAACTATTGAAATTCCCTTCAACAAGAAACGTTTAAACATTAATCCAATTAATCCTCTATAAGATTATCAAAACATCAAACGATCAATTAATTATTTCATGCATAATATGGTACATCTATAAAGATAATCATAATGATAATAATGGGAAAGCAATATTAGAAATAATAATTATAATTAAAATAACCTTTTCGTTGAGAATGACAATCCTTTCGGGTGGATCACGATGCTGAGATATAATATAAGGCGGACGTACATCAACGCTCCCTTCCACTGGTAACTGAAAGTGAGAGCGAAACTGTACTTTCGATCTTAAAAACATAAAATTGTGAAATAATTTCATTTCAGTTTGACCTCCTCCGCTAAAAGGTTCTTTGTTTCCATAAAACAAATACCCAAAATTCATAAGATTACTCACAAAAATACCACTAACCGCATTCGATAACGTTCGCTCCACAGCAAGTACGGTTGTTGTGAATGAAAATTTTGTCTGAAAAAAATTCAGTTTTTGAAACAAATTTCTCCTCATTTCTCAGTGTGTTACTCAACAACAATTTCTCTGTTTCACAAAATTTTCGAAAACAATAATACGAAAAACGAATATGAAACACTTTTTACAAATTCCAAACGAATACATCGTTGTTCTAAATGTATTCGTGTAATTCTATCATATTAAATAAATTCATCATCAAATAAACATTTTGCTTCGGCTATGTATCGTCACAACAATACATTATCGCACGGCATAATAATCAAATTTAAATTCACCAAGTTCTCCATTAAATAATCTTGCGCAGATAAATTCGACGATGAGAAACAAGTTACTGTTGAGGCCGCATCAACTCCGCACTCCGCTACCATCACTGACACTTCTGCAAAATTCTCGTTTTTGCACGATTGGCGATTCGATTCCATTTCAATGTTCAACAATATATCATTGCGATAAGATAAATAAAAAAGAATAATAATAATATTAATGTAACGACAATAACAACGAAAATGCTAGTACATCAACACTAGTAACGATAATGCTAACAAAAAGCAATCACAAGAAAACCAACCATGAGAAAAGAGTGTATCATAAACTGTGAAATACGGATTGCCAATTCCACCAGCATTATATCCAGGTGGGATTCGGACATGACGAAGTCTGAGATCAGTTGGTCGAATATCAGCCTTAATCAATCATTCTTTTAGCCGTCAGATGCTTCAAATACGATTATACGCAAAGTAGTACGTTCTAAATTCAGGCAAAGTGATTTTTAATCTTTATTTTGAATAGCACTAAAGAAGAGAATAAACTGAAGAATTTGTTTTCGTCTTATGCGGACTTCATCCTGCGTCTACGAGAGTTCATTTGCCGGAAACGTCAAACGAACACAGCGAATAAACGAATGAAACAATCATCAATACCGTTTCGGGTAACGATGGAGGCGAGACACCGTAAGGTGTCGATATTAGAGCGCTTATTGGGGTTGGTGGTAAGCATGTGAAGTATAAACGAACACCTTTGCGTGTTGTTGCTACCTAAAATACGTCATTTAACATTCACCATATTTCTTAGTGAACATGTTTCTTAGTTGTTCTCAGCACTCGAATACAGAATTTGAGCTACAACAACAACAACAAAACAATAATAAAATTTCGACGAAAGTTGTTTTTATGAAATCCGCATTCTGATGCTAAGTCCATACCTTGTTCGACATTCAATACTACATCCGAATAAGTAACATAATGCGATGAAGTCGTTGATAAATAATAACAATCGTTGTGGTTTCGAAGGAATAAAAAGGGAAATGATGAAAGATTCAACAAACCAAATGTAAATATTGTGAACGAGTCGACGGTATTGCATTGATACTGACAATATCGGTGAAGAAGGCACGATCCACCGTTCGACACTCATTTGATGCTCTATCCTTCAACACAGCTCACTTGNTATCGTTAACATTTGACGAGATGATTCGAATAATCAAAACAACAACAATATAAATGCTGAATAATGAATGAAAAACAAACTTGAATTTGTGCGTGACTCAACGACGCCACTTTTCGCATTTCATTTCCGTCATTACCCAAGTCAAACACTTGAATGGAACCATTCTCTGATAAGGTATACAGGATATGGCGAGTATCGTCAACACTGAGACGTGCAATCTTCTCTAAAATTCAGTTTTTATGAACGAATATCAATGAAAATACGACGATTTAACTTTAAATTGAAAAATATTTTCAAGA